ACTGATTCAGAAAACAAAAACTCTCTAGTTAAGGAATTACTGACTGATTCAGAAAACAAAAACTCTCTAATTAAGGAATTATTAACTGATTCAGAAAATAAAAACTCTCTAGTTAAGGGAACTACTACTAATTTCTTAATTTCTTCTAGTTACTGCCCATATCAAAATAATTGTAAATATTACTTATGTTATACTTTTTCTTTTTTTTTTAAAAAAAATGATTTCAATCATTCAATACGGTAAAACATTCAATAAGTATGCTCGGTATATATATATATATATAATTAAACAATTATAACGCATGTTTATTACAAACAGATTTTTCATCATATTAAACAGTTTGAAATGTTTAAATTCTAGAAAATAAAATTTTTTGTTCTCTTTGAAAAATTTGGAAAAATATTTGTGAATGTTTAAGACTTAGGAAGAAATGAAATTGAGAAGCAAAAATTTTTAACAAGAAAAAAAAATGTAACCCTTTGTTTCTCGTTTTATCATCAGGAAACTTCACACAAAGATATGTATGACATTTCAAAAATAAATTCAAACGAATAAATTTAAATTAACCGCCAATAAAGTACAAACAAAATTTTTTTGCTTTTTTTTTTTGCTTTGCACATCTCTTATTTTCTGATTTTAATCAAAAAATAGCATTAAAAATGAAACCGATCTCACAACTCTTACATTTCCCTCCAAAATTTCATTCTTCCAAACTTTAATTGATCTTTTTTTTCATTTTTGGATTATTGAAATTAATTAATTTAGTACCAACAATTAACAATGATGATAATCAATAATTAATAATATGATATTCAAATTATCATACCTCTTTATTTTCTCCACCTTAAAACTTCTATTATTCAAAATGCAATACTTTCAAAGAATTTTGTTTTTTTTTTTCTGTATATTATTTGAAAAATTAAACAACTGGTTTTATATATAATACACTGTTTATGTTAAATTGGATTAAAAAAACTGAATCAAATTAAATGGAAAGAAGTCTAGTTAGAATGGTTAAAATAATTAATTTTAACAAGGTTAAAATTAATTTACCCTAGTATGCAGCTAAATTTGCATATAAATTAGTCATTTCTTAAGTAAAATGTAAATTAATTAATTAATTAGACGATGCCAAATGTACGAAGGGAGGAAAAAGCAAACTGTGAATTTCACTTCCTCTAAAAATCTTATCAAAATCAAAAATTTTCAATTCTTTGAACGAATATTGCATTCTACACCATAAAAGTTATAAATTACAACTGTTGATATCTGGAACTGATAAGGAAGAAGGACAACACAATACACTATTCAATTGGAATTACTTATTATATGAAATCGTTTTGATGACGATGGCATAAAAAGGCGAAGAAAGAAG